ATCTATTATCCATATTATAACACTTTCTTCAATATTAAGTTTAATAAAAACGCACTATGTCCAGATATTTCTCTATGTTCTTTGATAATATTACTATTATTCGTGTATTCGCACGGCAACTACTCATCAAGTGGCGTCATGCGCGGCATGAACCAAAACTCGTACACGGGGGCATCCAGCCCTGGCGCGGCGCGGTCTGGCCTGCCTCACTACTCTTACGTCACTCCACCACTCCCAGTTCTCATAATGCATTTGTCTTTATTTATTAAACGGCCTAAGAGCACATTACCATCCCTGTATAGTAATTAATAGCCAAATATAACAAAAAAATATCACTATTTGGATAGGTATTGAATATTTAACATTAAACATTTTACTAAATAATTAAATATTAATAATTATTATTATAAATATTTAATATTATTTTTTAAATCATCGCTAAATTTTTAACTAGGTTGCAGTATTAATTTAATTTAATAATTAAATTTAAAATAATTTAAATTTTATATTTTTTATTTAATACTATTTAATCGATTCCCGAAAAACTTTGATTTGTGGAAACAGTGGTTAAATGCCACAAAAAGAACAGACAATATTCTCTGCTGAAAAAAACTGATCGAAACTCGATCTTTTTTTATCATATTTGATCATGGTCCAGAAAATTCTCGATCCTTTTTTATCATATTTAATGAGGTTCTAGAAATTCTCGATCCTTTTTTATCATTTTCGATCAGATTTCGCAGTCGATCCTATTTGATCATAAAAACACGATCGAGTTTCGATCCTTTTTTATCATATTTGATCAGATTTCGAAGTCGATCCTATTTGATCATGAAAACACGATTGAGTTTTGATAACATATTATCGAAACTCGATCGTGTTTTCATGATCAAATATGATCGACTACTAGGTTCTTGAAATTCTCGATCCTTTTTTATCATTCTCGATCAGATTTCGAAGTCGATCCTATTTGATCATAAAAACACGATCGAGTTTCGATCCTTTTTCGAACATTTTTGATAAGGTTTTCGTGGTCAAAAAGGATCGTTTCGATCCTGTTTTCATGATCAAATAGGATCGAGTTTCGATCCTTTTTGATAACGAAAACAGGATCGAAACTCGATCCTTTTTCGATCATTTTCTATAATGTTTCCATAATTAATTCTAAAATAAAAGATACAATTTTCAAAACATGAAAACTTTATTGGGCACTTTCAAAAAGATCGGATGACAACGATGATGATGATGAAATTCGTAATTATAATTACATTTCCTTATTATAAGAAAAAGTAGTATTATGTACTACTTTTCATGCGCTACCTTATGATGATTAATTAATGATACGAGGTATTGCGCCTAGGCCATCGATATATTTAAATTAAAAAAAGTTCCAATAAAATAAAATCTTGACATACTTGTCTAGGGAAATCTAGGGATTTTTTTGTAAAAAATCTGGGGAAATAAAAAAATATCATCTGGCAACCCTGTCTGTAATGTGTCTATAATCTGTGCACGTGCTTGTCATGTTGGTTAGTGTTTTTTGTTATCGATTTTACGGTTTTACTGTGGGTTTTTCTTTACTATAATAATTAAAAATTCGATGAAAAGTACTGATTGCCATCAAACAAAAAAAACTTATGATTTCCGAGTTGCGGCAATTTTTTATGAATTTTGTTTTTTCGGCCCCTGAAAAGTAAGGTTATGTATACAAATTTTACTATGAATTTATTTGTTATAGGTAAATTTAAAGACAGCAAGATAGCAAGATGTCAATTAATTTAACCGCTGATGGACCATGTGCTTTTGTTAAATTTTGCGACACGGGGCACAAAAAAAGGGTGTTGCTGTCGGAAATTTCAAATTTCGATGCAAAAACTTTCTCTCGAAACAAGAAATACTTTATTGAACGTGAGGGAGCAACTGCGCAATGCGTTGTTTCTTTTTTTGCAAGTAAATAATTAATTTTTAGTCTTGATTATTGCAAATTGTATATAGTTATACAGGGTGATTCAGTTTTAACCTACCAGGGGAAAATGTTCCTCCCATTATCCTGATTCAGAAAAATATCACACATAAGTTGACAAAGAAAAAACGTTTTTTCGTCATATCTTCTATGAAAATGATAAAAATTAATCATAATTTTGTATACATACCTTTCATATGAAAGCCCTATTTTTGAAAAATAAAATTGTTAAATAAATAAATAAATAAATAAATAAAAATTAATCATAATTTTGTATACATACCTTTCATATGAAAGCCCTATTTTTGAAAAATAAAATTGTTAAAATTTGATACAACATGGGCGTGCAATGGGGCCACATCAAAATATAAAGAAAAAGAAAAAAGGTATGAATGAAAATTTGCAAGATTATTTTGCGAAAGTTAAAAAGACAATATTAAAATAGTAATATAAATATATTCCCTAAAGGGACACTTTTTTTTGTTTTAAAAAAAGGATAAAAATTTCATCACCATCGTCATCCGATATTTTTGAAAACGAAAATGTCCAATAAATTTTTCATGTTTTGTAAATTGTATCTTTTATTTTAGAATTAATAATGGAAACCTTATGAAAAATGATCGAAAAAGGATCGAGTTTCAATCCTGTTTTCGTGATCAAAAACGATATCGAACCTCGATCCTATTTAATCATAAAAACAGGATCGAAACTCGATCCTTTTTGATCACGAAAACAGGATCGAAACTCGATCCTTTTTCGATCATTTTTCATAATGTTTCCATAATACGTAAAAGTAGTACTATATACAACTTTTCATACTCTTACCTTATGACAGTAGTCTGAAAAGAGAGACCCAAAAATGACTTATCCCCTTATTCCCCGAAACCACGGAATTATTGTTGTGAATATTATTTTATAAAATATATGACTGTTATTATTATAATTACGAATTTCATCATCATCGTCGTCGTCATCCGATTTTTTTGAAATACAAAGTGCCCAATAAAGTTTTCAAGTTTTGTAAATTGTATCTTTTATTTTAGAATTAATTATGGAAACCTTATGAAAAATGATCGAAAAAGGATCGAAACTCGATCCTATTTGATCCAGAAAACAGGATCGAAACTCGATCCTTTTTGATCACGAAAACAGGAGATAAAATCCTTATCAAAAATGATCGAAAAAGGATCGAGTTTCGATCCTGTTTTCGTGATCAAAAAGGATCGAGTTTCGATCCTGTTTTGCTGATCAAAAAGGATCGAAACTCGATCCTATTTGATCCAGAAAACAGGATCGAAACTCGATCCTTTTTGATCACGAAAACAGGAGACAAAATCCTTATCAAAAATGATCAAAAAGGATCGAGATTTAAACTCGATCCATTTTCGATCAGTTTTTTTCAGCAGGGAACGTTAAGACCGCTTCTGTTTCCTATAAACATTTTCTGGACAGTGGCTATAAGTTTAATTTAAAACACCAACGCTTAAACTCCAGCCCTAAATGTTATCAAGGACTAAAAGCATCTATTATCCATATTATAACACTTTCTTCAATATTAAGTTTAATAAAAACGCACTATGTCCAGATATTTCTCTATGTTCTTTGATAATATTACTATTATTCGTGTATTCGCACGGCAACTACTCATCAAGTGGCGTCATGCGCGGCATGAACCAAAACTCGTACACGGGAGCATCCAGCCCTGGCGCGGCGCGGTCTGGCCTGCCCCACTACTCTTACGTCACTCCACCACTCCCAGTTCTCATAATGCATTTGTCTTTCTTTATTAAACGGCCTAAGAGCACATTACCATCCCTGTATAGTAATTAATAGCCAAATATAACAAAAAAATATCACTATTTGGATAGGTATTGAATATTTAACATTAAACATTTTACTAAATAATTAAATATTAATAATTATTATTATAAATATTTAATATTATTTTTTTAATCATCGCTAAATTTTTAACTAGGTTGCAGTATTAATTTAATTTAATAATTAAATTTAAAATAATTTAAATTTTATATTTTTTATTTAATACTATTTAGATAATTTTTTATTTAATACTATTTAATCGATTCCCGAAAAACTTTGATTTGTGGAAACAGTGGTTAAATGCCACAAAAAGAACAGACAATATTAACGTTAAGACCGCTTCTGTTTCCTATAAACATTTTCTGGACAGTGGCTATAAGTTTAATTTAAAACACCAACGCTTAAACTCCAGCCCTAAATGTTATCAAGGACTAAAAGCATCTATTATCCATATTATAACACTTTCTTCAATATTAAGTTTAATAAAAACGCACTATGTCCAGATATTTCTCTGTTCTTTGATAATATTACTATTATTCGTGTATTCGCACGGCAACTACTCATCAAGTGGCGTCAAGCGCGGCATGAACCAAAACTCGTACACGGGAGCATCCAGCAGTGGCGCGGCGCGGTCTGGCCTGCCCCACTACTCTTACGTCACTCCACCACTCCCAGTTCTCATAATGCATTTGTCTTTCTTTATTAAACGGCCTAAGAGCACATTACCATCCCTGTATAGTAATTAATAGCCAAATATAACAAAAAAATATCACTATTTGGATAGGTATTGAATATTTAACATTAAACATTTTACTAAATAATTAAATATTAATAATTATTATTATAAATATTTAATATTATTTTTTAAATCATCGCTAAATTTTTAACTAGGTTGCAGTATTAATTTAATTTAATAATTAAATTTAAAATAATTTAAATTTTATATTTTTTATTTAATACTATTTAGATAATTTTTTATTTAATACTATTTAGGTAATTAAAAATAATAAAATAAATATTAAAAATTATTTTTTTGTCGATCTCTGCTAAAGAACTATACATAAACCACCATTTTTGTTATATTGATAAAATTAGTCAACAATCTGTGACAAATGAGCAGAGTCTCGGCCAAAACAAAACTACAAACATACATACATAAAATTAGTACAAATGAAAATTATTATTATCTAATAAATTAATTTTTTTAAATAGCTGACCTATGTATATACATGTTTTAGCATTAGATAAACTTGGGTTTTCCGATTACCATGCTGAAGCAGAAGCTGTTTTAAAAGATTGCAAAGCGGTGGCTGCTAAACGAAGACGACAAAGTACGAGATTAGAAAACTTAGGAATTCCAGAGGAAGAGCTTCTTAGACAACAACAAGAATTATTTGCCAAAGCTAGGCAGGAACAAGCCTTTGCTGAACAACAACAGTGGGAACAATTGCAAGCAGCAGCACAGCAAGCGCAAGCATCTGTTTTGTCCACAAATGATGACCAAGATGATTATTCTTGAGTAAATTAACTATATATACCTAAATAAGATAAGAACCAAATATTGTTTTTAATAAAAAACCTTTGTGTTTAATATTGAATTTTTAATATCGATACCTTACCGGCAGAACTGTTGCATTGTATGTATCATATACTCTATACAGGGTGTCCGGGAAAAGGAAGTCAATTCGTATATTCTTTGAGTTAAAACAATAAGACTTTCATAATACCATTTTTCAATTTAGAGCTTCATGTTCGATATACAGGGCGACAAAGTTTGAAATTTAAAACTGATTTTTTTTAATAATTCGAGTAATTGATAAGATATTAAGTTCAAATTCGGTACACTACTTCAACATAAATAGTTACATTTTTTTTGAGGACAACAAAACAGAAAACAATTGTCAAATAATCAAAATAGGGGGGGTCCAGTACTCACTGACTCCCCCTATTTTTAGTACGTGCGCCAATGACTTCCAAACGGTACTTTTTCAGATAATCATTTATTGTTAAAAAAAAATTGTCTCTTATAAAATTTTGATAAAATGATTTGTTTTAGAGATAATTTGTAAAGTATGGGTCAGTCCATATCAAATCAACCAAAGGTTCTTCCCCCACCTTCTCCGATTTTGATAATTTTTGGTAAATTTGTTTACCTCACTAAAAAACTCAAAAATCCCACATATGAATTTTTTTCGATGGGTGGTTTTTGTTTTATTGATTTTTGAAAATCAAAAAATTCCGATAAATTTGGGTTTTGCAAGTTCTTACAAAAATAGCGATATCTCGTAAACTATTAAAAGTAGAAAGGTGAGTGATGGCTTATTTTAAAGGCCTATTAGAGACCTTTTTTATGATGTATCGCATGACCTAAATTTAAAAAAAAAATCAAAAATTTGATATCTCTAAAACAAATCATTTTATCAAAATTTTATAAGAGGCAAAAAATTTTCAACAATAAATGATTACCTGAAATAATACCGTTTGGAAGTCATTGGCGCACGTACTAAAAAATAGGGGGACGTTTTTTAAAAAATAATTTTTCTTCTAAAACATTTTCATTATAAGACCGGCTGGATTAGAGTTTGCAAAATATTCGATAATAGGGTCGTTCAATACTGCAATATTGGAATCTATATCAATAATATCGTCAACTTGTAACCTTGTTCGGGTGTGATTGTAACCTCAACTCGAGGGCTATGGCGAACGGCAGCTTTTCAGCGGAGAGATATATAGACCTATAGGTCTATGGGCAAATGTTGTTTTTCGATACTTACGTGTATACAAAATATATTTACTAAATTTAAATAAAAATTTGGCGCCAGTGTCTATTTAAGGCCAGTTGTTAAAATCCAATCCACAAACTTATTGGTAAATAAGGATAATAAAAGTCAAAAATATAAATTATAATTAACTTCAATCAGAGTTGTTAACGAGTCAATCCAAATGAAAACACCAAAAATGAATTTAAAAGTGCGCTGCATGATTTTTTATTGTAATGAAAAAATTTGAGGATGATCTTTTAGGTGTCAAATATGAAAATCCGTTGCCGTTTTAATTTTTTGTTGCTTTACTTTTATTTGGCACCCCTTAGAAGTCTGAAATAGTGTCAATTTCTTACTCTCTTATAGTGGGCCAGAACTTTTTTTCTGTGACAAATATTGAAATAATTTTAATTTTGTTTTACTGTTCAGTAAGTGTGTTTTCGATATAAATTATTTTTATCCAATTAGTTAATCTCATAAAAGAATGGTAAACCACTAAAGATTCATGATTTGCCAATTTTTGTGATTTTTGTCTGGCTCCTGTGCCTATTCTACTGAATTTAGAAGGTTCATTTTTTTCAGGTATAAAGTACTTATACAATAGAAAACGTAACTATTATTTTAAGTTTCTAGACTATCAATTTCTTTATTAAAAAAATTATTGAAAATTGATAATTCTCAAAATTAGCCAATTTTGCCCTCAGAAATCATTATATAAGGAAAAAATAAAAATCTGAAACTTTCAGGAAATGTAGTCCCCACCTTCATCTTTTCAGTCCAGTTAGTCTTGTTTTGTTATTTTTATTCCTTTAAAAGATATATTAATTTTTTTAATGCCCGTTTAGTAGCGATATTGTTAGTTTTATTTATAATTTAAAATTTAGATGGCTTTGACTTTGTCAATTCATGTTTGGTAGAGAAATGTCAGAGCTGTCAAAAATATTTCATAAATTTTATTTGTGTGTATTTAAATTGTGATTTCAAAAAGTTTGCAAGTGTAATAAATGACGGAGTGTTCGAGATTCATGAATTTAATTGCAATTAAAAATGCAAGAACATATCATAATTTTGTACCTCTTTCTTACAGAAAATATTTAAGTTCTGAGAAGTTTTAAATTGTTAAAAATAAGCAAAAACCAAAAAATATTCTAAATAAACCCCTTTATTATAACATGTTTTATTTTAACCAGTTACCTAAAAACTAAAATTTAAAGAAGTATTTACAGATTGTGTACATTTTTTCCAACACTAACATTTAAAATACATACATTTAACTTTTAACTATTTAGTGCCTTACTAAAGGGATTAAAATAATAGAACAAGACTAACTTGGTTTAAATTGTGAAAGAAACCGACAAAAAACTGCTTAACGCATTTTTTATACGTTTAAATTAACTCTTTATTAATTTCACTTATTATACTTAACGATATAAACCATAAGGATCTTAAATATATTTTTTACATTTTTCTTCTTTAAACACCAATTAGCCAATTAAATACTTCATTATAATGTATATAATATATAGGTAATCATATACATATATATATATACACTATACATATATGTATATATACACTATTGGACAAAAGTAAAGCAACAACTGTATAAAAAATCTAACCCCAAAACGCCTTTATTAATCTTTAAGAAATTTTGGATAAAAATACTTGAACTTAAATCTCAGTTTACGTGTTTGAGGGTTTTTTAAAAAATATTTTTAAAGCCCATTTTTTTAATATTAAAAAAACCTTCGAAAAATAATTTTTACGGAAATTTTTTTTCAAGTAAATAAAAAATATACTGTTAAATACCGTATTTTTGTTAGTATACCCTGAAAATTTTGTACAAATCAAATGAACAGTAACGAAGATACAGCGATTCAAAGTCGTCAAAAATGACCACTTTTTAGCAAAATAATCAAAAAAGGGTCATTTTTACCGACTTTCAAGCGCTGTATCTTCGTTACTGTTCATTTGATTTGTACAAAATTTTTAGAGTAAACTAACAAAAATACGGTCATTAACAGAATATTTTTTATTTACTTGAAAAAAAATTTCCGTAAGTTATTTTTCGAACGTTTTTTTAATATTAAAAAAATGGGCTTTAAAAATATTTTCTCAAAAAACCCTTAAACACGTAAACTGAGATTTAAGTTCAAGTATTTTTATCCAAAATTTCTTAAAGAATAATAAAGGCGTTTTGGAGTTGGATTTTTTATACAGTTGTTGCTTTACTTTTGTCCAATAGTATATATATATATATATATATATATATATATATATATATATATATATATATATATATATATATATATATATATATATATATATATATATATATATATACTATTGGACAAAAGTAAAGCAACAACTGTATAAAAAATATATATATATATATATATATATATATATATATATATGATTTTTCAATACATAAAATATAACATAACTACCAAAAATATGAGAACTCTCAAAAATATTTCATAATTATTATTTGTGGTATTCCTTTGGTGATTTTAAAAAGTTTTATATATAACATAATATTACATATTATGTTATATACAAAATTTACCAAAGGAATACGCACAAATAATATTTATGAAATATTTTTGACAGTTCTGACACTTCTCCACCAAACATGAAAGCCATCTAAATTTTAAATTATAAATAAAACTAACAATATCGCTACTAAACGGCCATTAAAAAAATTAATATATCTTTTAAAGGAATAAAAATAACAAAACAAGACTAACTGGACTGAAAAGGTGAAGGTGGAGACTACATTTCCTGAAAGTTTCAGATTTTTATTTTTTCCTCAACATAATGATTTCTGAAGGCAAAATTGGCTAATTTTGAGAATTATCAATTTTCAATAATTTTTTTAATAAAGAAATTGATAGTCTAGAAACTTAAAATAATAGTTACGTTTTCTATTGTATAAGAGCCATTCCACGCGTGACGGATGGGATAGTTGCCGTGTTTTTATTTACAAAATAATGTTGTTCTATTGTATGGCCAATGTCAAATTTTTATAAATGGTTCTAAACTGGAGCTGTTTAACAAGGTTTTTATTTGGCAAAATTGGGTATCGTGATTGACTGTCCAATTCCTTAAAAACTAATAATTTAAAGCGTAACGGTCGGGACTTTTGCAAACTAAAAACCTTGTTAAACAGCTTTTGTTTAGAGCTATTTATAAAAATTTGACATTGGTAATATGGTGGAACAATATTATTTTGTAAATAAAAACACGGCGGCTGTCCTATCCGTTAAGCGTGGAATGGCTCATAAGTACTTTATACCTGAAAAAAATAAACCTTCTAAATTCAGTAGAATAGGCACAGGAGCCAGACAAAAATCACAAAAATTGTCAAATTATCATGAATCTTTAGTGGTTTACCATTCTTTTATGAGATTAACTAATTGGATAAAAATAATTTATATCGAAAACACACTTACTGGACAGTATAACAAAATTAAAATTATTTCAATATTTGTCACAGAAAAAAAGTTCTGGCCCACTATAAGAGAGTAAGAAATTGACACTATTTCAGACTTCTAAGGGGTGCCAAATAAAAGTAAAGCAACAACAAATTAAAACGGCAACGGATTTTCATATTTGACACCTAAAAGATCATCCTCAAATTTTTTCATCAAAATAAAAAATCACGCAGCGCACCCCATTTGGTGTTTTTATTTGGAATGACTCTTCTATTAAATATAATATATTATATCCAGCGTGTTATGCAATTATGCAAAAAAAATTAACCATGTTTTTTTGCACTAAAGAGACAGTTTGTAAATATGTTAAAATGTTAAAGTTATAAGAAATGAACAAAAAATTAGATAACATGCAAAAAAATTACCACATATGCTCCTTTAAAAATTAAGTCGATATATATATATTATATTATTATAATAAAAATATAATAAAAGTCCAACAGAAACTTTAAAGGAGCATATGTGCACATATGCTCCTTTAAATAAAAGTCGATTTATAATTAAAAAATTTAATAAAAGTTCAACAGAAAATGAGATAAAATTTTTTAAAGTTTCTGTTGGACTTTTATTATATTTTTATTATATATCGACTTAATGTTTAAAGGAGCATATGTGGTAATTTTTTTGCATGTTATCTAATTTTTTGTTCATTTCTTATAACTTTAACATTTTAACATATTTACAAATTGTCTCTTTAGTGCAAAAAAAGGATTGCATGTTAGAGATAAATAAGGATCAATAAAAAAATCTTAGAGGATAAATATAAAAATCGAAAAATATTGAATTTATATTTTTTAAATGTTAAATGCCATCAGGATTTTTTTTATTAAAAATTTCTTAATATGGCATACTTATATATAATTATAATTAAAAATAAAACAAAAATAGAAAATATTTACTAGATGAGTGAGTGAGTATGATTATAAGAACGTATGGCAGGCTCCATCGGCAACGCCAGGGTTATTTTACCCCCTTCGGTTCTCCTACGTATCCCGCAAATGCACAGCGTTACCTGTGTTTGGTGGATCCGAATTATCACCCTGGCAGGTAAATCTTCCCTAGGAGATCGTGGATGGCAGTCTCGAGACAAAATTCCAGGAGTGGCCTTAACCATCGATCGATGGTTAAGGCCACTCCTGGAATTTTGTCGCCGGGTCGGACCATACGCCAGATTTAGGCTAGAGGCGTGTTGAAGAAGGAGAGAAAATATGGTTTTTGAGGGCCTTGAACTGACCCAAAACTAAGTACAATCCGGACTCCCCCTCAACCAAGGTTTTAGTAATAACCCCATTCATTTGGGGTTATTACTAAAATGAATGGGGACTTGATAGGTTAATATGCTTCTAGGATCTGTCCTTACTGGTTTTGAAGTACTTCCTGTTCGTCTGTGTCCTTCTCTCTGTCCGGGTCATATTCCCAGCCTGTTGATTATCTATAACTTTGCACCCATATAAACAATACTATTCTTATAAGAAGATACTATAGTATCTTCTTTTCTATGTTTGCACATCACTATGCGGTTGCGATTGTTTATTTTTTATTAGTACGTTTAGGTCAGCCACTTCGGTTGGTTACCCCCTTAATGTCACAGCAATATACAGATTTTTATTTCTTTAGGATGAGTTTCGTTTGCTTAGTGTTTATCAGAACTTGATTAATGGCTTCTTATGTGTGCCCTAGTGTTTATAGTTTTTTGACTGGTTGTTTTTTATTTGAAACTGTTTGCGACTAATTATTTTACCTGGTGGATTCTTTGTTACTTAAAGATTGCGGATTACGTATTAAAATTTAGTATTATTATTATTTGGGAATTACATGGTCATGCAATTTTGATAATATTTACTTATCTTGTACTTCGGTTAAATTGCCAGTCACGTTCGAGAGCTCGTCAAAGTTAGTCGCATCTTGCATCTTGCCGTCGCGCTCTTGAAACTTACAAACAGCAATGCTCGCGACTCGCGTGCGGGTGAGCTCTTGAAACGTAAAAGTTTAAAGTTGAAACCAACAATAATTAAAAAAAAGGGGTGCGAACTGATAAGTGAAACAAACATTTTCATGGAGTGCAAGCTAAAATGGTGTAACGGTCATTGAGGATCCTCACTCCACTCGAGTGGAGTGTTGGGTGATATGAATGACTTGGGTGCCACCTGTCATTGGAGGCTTTTCACTGGACGGACGGGGGAGGTCGGAGAAGAGGGGAGGTGGCCATCCGCAAGGGGAAAAATCTGATAAGTTTTACTTTAAGAGTATGCATGACCTGATACAAATCTGCAATATAAATACATATATATATAGATCCCAGCAAGCATTTTCCGTTATTTGTCACCATTAACATTGCCCGTATTCATTTCATTAAACATAACATTTATTTTACTTGAAAATGTTAAAATGACTTTAAAATATGATTATGTTAAGAACATATTTTACTCTTTAAACAATTGTTTTGTTTTTAATTACTATCATTGCAAAATTGTATTAAAAAGTGTTAAAAATTCTTACACGGGCAATGTTAGTGGTGATAGGTATCGTTAAAGTGTTTATTGGGATATCTTTAAAACCTAAGAAGGGCACGCAGCGTGGGGCAATAAGTCTGTCAACAGCAAATGCGTAAGGCGGTCCCAATCGAGCCGGAAAATAAACACTGGACTGACAGAGTAAACTAACATTGAACAAAATTCTAACACATTAAAAAAAAGGGCCTAATAGCCAAACTCGAGTTTGTAAACATTAGACAACAGAATAATCGCGCTTGTGATTTGTTTGACTAGTGAATAAATGCAATGCTTTGGAATTTGATAAACAAAGACGGAACTCTACCACAAAACGTGCTTGGGACAAAAATTGTTAAAAACAACTGACACACTTTACCAAGGGCAGGAACTATCTGACCAGGACACGGACAATGACAATAACGAACAAGACAAAGACATCGACTAGGAAACTACACCCCTGCAGCGAAATAACAACTCCCCAACTCCAAATAGTGATCCCAAATGTTTGGAGTAATACTAATCGACTGGTCTAGGGGGATTCCGCGTCGTACTTAGTTTTAAGTCGGCGAAATTGTCCCCCAAAAACCAATTCCCTCCCGTCCCTCATCCATACCCCACCGAGCGTATAGCATAGGCTCGGCGAACCCGGGAATGGCTATTATAACTATTCGCCTCTCGCTCTCGAGCCCCAAATAGGGGACAGTACGTAACGCAATGGACATTCGCACCCAGCAAACACGGGTGAAGCCGTGCAGTTGCTGGGGAAGAACAAAAATCGGCGTAAGTAAACATAGGCCTGTACGGGGTTCGAGAGTCAAGAGGAAATGGGGCTGGTTATACGTCTCTTATACTCATATACTCATACTTGTACTTCGGTTAAATTGCCAGGTAGATGTGATGTAATTGTTTCTTAACCCCGACCGCCCAATTTACCACGTGTGGTAGTCCAGGAAATTATTCGTTGAAACTGATCGTCTCACTCACACCTTTTATCGTAAGTAATATTACTTACGATAAAAGGTGTATATATCATAAGGGCATCTAATTTTTCAGAAAAAAAATCGACAAACACGTTGTTAAGTAATATTTTAACAAGACGCATGAGTGCTGGTGGCAACAAAAATCCTAGTCCTAGTCCTTTTGCACCTGCACGAATGCATTTTGTTAAAAAATATTACTTGGCATTGTGTTTTTTCGATATTTTTTCACATGAAAAATTAGATGCCTGAATGGTATTTTACAGGACTATTTCATGAGTAACAGTTATTCTGCATACACATAGCATAAACATACTACCTATTATACATGCATACATAATAAATATGTAGGTATTATAATTTTTGGTGACAACAGCTGTCAAGTTTTGCCGCGGGTAAACTCGAAAAAACTGTTGACAGGTGCTGTCATAGAGTTTTTCCACCTAGGAACCATTTGTAATTCAAAATTGCGCGTTTGTGATTAGTTGAAATTAAGACGAGGAAAATAGTCCAGGTAGAACACTTGAGGACTCAATCCAGGAGGAGGTACCACACGCAATTTGCACTGTTTTTGCACTTGGATCTGGTATATCACATGTAGAATCGTTATTAATTTTTGTTTTTTGAACAACTTCAGCGGTGATGGCACTATGGAAGTATACGCGCTCGTATACGAGCGCGTTAAGGGAGCCCTTACCCAAGCGACCGCTCGCCTCAAGGTGCTGTGCGTCACTGAACTAGAAAATAAAAAATACCTGCAGGTTTCTGGATAAAAAGCTACTATAAAAAATCAAATATTGGGATGGATGTATATAAGCATAACTATAAACATATAGGTAGTAAATATAGTTAAAATAATAGAATAAGTTGATTTGTATTATATTATTTAATTATGTCTCTATATGAACATTGTAACAGTAAATGAGATAGAGAGAGCTACCATACTATGATAAGATAGTTTACAAATGTTATTTCAACAGATCTAAAAAGAATATTTATATATTTTCGGCAAATGCAGAATCAAAACAAAAAATAAATACAAAGTCAGAATATTATAAAAATGATAATAAATATTCATATCATATCAGACTTATATACCATACATCATTAAATAAAAAAAATAAAAAACACGAGAATGTATTTACACACTTTTCACACCTATTAAAAAGAAATTATCTGACATTTTTTTTAAATATATATACAATTTGTAAAATCAAATGTATCAAAGAAATTGTGTACTTTGAGTAATCAAATGCTTCAATGGTACACAAGAACAAAACATTTTAAGACAATATACAAAACCAACAATTTATATTAACTTTATTGAAACATTTAATATACATATACCAATTTTAAAACATTTGGGTTGAAAAATTGTTTTTAATGTAATTTTAATGTGTAATATGGTTTAAAGCCCGCTGCACAACAACCCATTCCCGTTCCCGATTCCGGGCTATTGTGAAGCGGGCTTAAGGCTGCGGATAACAGTATATTCTGCCTAATCCAATTTTAGTTGATTACATATCTTAAGCCTAGTAGCAGTAATTATTTTCTATCAGTATTTTTTGGAGAATACATATTTTTACCAAGCTTAATAATTCAGTTCAGTTTAAGAAATTAGTGGCAATGAAAAATGTGCACCCTCTTAAAAGTTTTCGAACACTACAAGCATCCATAGGTCAAGTTCAATAGTTATCACAGTTTGCCAAATACCCACATTTATTACACCAAAATTCACTCACTAATGTTTTTTTCGCGTAAACAGTTTAAATTTTGGTAAAATATGTTTACGATGCGCCTTCACTTTCTTTTAATGCATTTTCAGCTTCCAATTTTTGCCTGGCAGCTGCCGCTGCCGCAGATCGACTAGCACTTGAACGTAGGTTCTTTTTTTGTACAACAGCCTCTGGGTCTAATGGAAGAAAATCTCCTGACTTACGTTTTCCCCTTGTCCGCTTTGCAGCTTTCTTGGGTGGGCTGGACTCTCCAGCCGACGAAGTTGATGTTTCAGCAGATGCTTGAGCTTTCGCCTCATCGTCGTCCTTAGGTCCTTCAACTTTATCTTCAGTATTTTTAGACGGTTCTATCGCTGAAAATGACTGGACTGAAGGCTCTGCAGGTTTTGCGGAAAAATTTTCCAAATTTTGACCACCTGGTTTAACTACTGTCAAAGGTGGAAGTAATGTCTCGATGTCTACACCTTCCTGATCTGCGTTTAAATCAGCAGAGGGAATTTCGTCTTTTGTTTTTTTAGAGAGGGGTTGCACATCCTCATCTATAACTAACTTATTTTCAACTGAATCCGTTGAATCTCTAGGCCGTTTAAGTGCAACTGGTTTTGGGTGTTCTATAACAGGTCTTGCCATTAAGTCTGGGTTGGTTTTGCTTAACTGTTCTAAAGCTTCCTTCATTTGTTGCTCTTGGGATTTCTTAGTAGTTTGGGACACTTGAGCCTCCAATAACTTGGTAAATTCTGTTAGACCAGAAAGTCCACCTTTCTTGTCTTTGACAGTTGTGCTAAAATCAGAAGGCAAGATACCTTTTAAACTTTCCAAAGTTTTGCGTTTGTCTTCTTTTTTATCGCTCTTTTGCTTTAGAAGAGCGGTGTCTAAACCTCCTGCAGCTGCCTTGGAAAGGCTTTCCAGGATTTGTGTATCAGGTGGCAGGAGAAGACTTTGTAATTGTGCGTCCCTGCTAGACATTTTTGATGACTTTGAACTGTGGCCGGAAGAAGTTGTCGTTGTTGTAGTAGAAGACGACGAAGGGCGGCTTGAGCTCGGTTTGCTCATCTTCGATAAAGAATTTGGTGAAGCTGCTGGATTCAAGCTACCGTTAAGTAAACCACATTGCTGTGCTAGAGTATCATATGCAGCAGACATACCTAAATTAAAGACATTTGATATAATATTTATAGAATAAAATCAAGAATAAAAACTTACCAGTTGGTAAAGAAAATGGATTTATTCCACCCAATCCAAGGGGCGTATATAAAAGACTGGGATTTGGAAAGAAAAATGGGAAAGGGTTAGTGGTTGGTATGGAGTTTGAGCTTGAACTCTTGCTAGAGCTGTGTGCTTCCTGAGGTTTTTGTTGTTTGGAAGTGGCTGTGCTAGATTTATTAGAATTTTTTGACATTGATGTGGATGTAGACTCCCCAGAAAGAACAGATGGATCCATGCCTCCAAGTCCAGGAATACCTAATCCTGCTAAGTTAGCAAACAAATTCATATTGCTTAAATTACCCAAACTACCCATAGAACTTAGGGTACCCATGTTAGGCATACCAGCAAAAGGCATTAATAGAGGATTTGTTTTGGGATCAAATTGTCCCAATCCAGACAATCCTGATAGTAAGTTAGAGTTTAAGCCAGATAACCCAGCAGTACTTAATGATGGGAATGATAAAGTAGACGGTATCGATGTTGACAGATTTGCAGAACTTACACTGGATGTTGATCCAGTTGGGCTAGCCAAAAGAGGTGGTCTTCCAGGTATATTGCTTTTGCTCTTACTGCTGTTACTACCACTAGTACTGCTACTACTTGTACCAGGTAAACGTTTGTGCAAGTCTGTACTTAAATTCCCACGTTCCTTAACCAATTCTGACCACTTAGGATCAATATCATACATTGGATTTTCCATTAGCCATTGGCCCAGGCGTTTTAAAGTGGGTGCTTTTGGACCTGTTAACTTCTTTCCAGAAATTCTATGTATTACAGATACATTTTCTTCACCAGTTAATTTTTTCCAGTCTAGCAATGTTGGGTCGATTCTAGGTCTTCTCCTTCTTGGTGATAAATAATCAGCTCCTAAAATGATACAAATTTATTTTTAAGCCATGGAAAAAAATAAATTAATATACCCAAAGGTTGTTCTGCAAGAGCAGCATTTTGTTCAGCAAGCCATTTATTAACTTTGGCTTCATGGGAATATGAAGTTACTTTGGAACTAAAATCTGGAACTTTGCTAATATCAATCATTGCCTCATAGTTTTTTCTTTGCTGTTGTTGCTGTTTCTTTAATAGCAGATTTTGCTGGTCAGCTTGTGCCAAAAATGAAGATAAGCTGTCTTTACCGCTTCCGGACAAATTTGGAATTGTCGAACTGCGAGAAGAGGGAGCTGTATTAGGAACAGAAGTAACTGTGATGGTAAAAGGTTTTTGTGTTGGATTATGGGAAGAGCTTACGGGTGCAGACGTAGGTGTTACTGTTACACTAGGAGTTACAGTGGGTTTTTTAGAGGTTTCTGGGAATAGGGACTGCTCTTTAGCAGCGGACAATCCCAAAACTATTTCGTCCAATTTACGACGCTTTTTCTCTTTTCCGACTACAGCCTCAGGTTCCGGCTAATAAAAATAAAAGTATCAATATTAAGTTAATAGTTATTATTGTTATACATACGCAATTTTTTCTCTTCATAAGTTTGGATAAGGTGTCATCCAATTTATTGCTACTGGTTTTCGAAACCGTTAATGATGGGGTAGATAAAACCGTAGAAGATTTTTTCAGAGAAAAATCTTGAACTTCATTTTGTATGTCAGAAACAGACATTTTATCTGAACTTTTGGGAATACTGTAAAAAATTAATTTCAATTAAGTAAGGCCTTTTTTAAAATGTCCAAATAGTCTTACCTTGAACTAAGATCAATTGGTGTAAGTGTGCTGCTTGTTCCAGGAATGACAGTGGTTTGTCCAATTGTCTTAGGTTGTGTGGTATGATATTTTAGATCATATGGCATATTGATTAACCTGGAAGAAGCGTGTTGATGAGCTGGTGGTGGTTGCAAGTTCCCTTGATTTGGTGTTGATCTCCGTGAGTCCTCTGAATCTTCATTATCCCACCCCAAGTTATGCTTTGAAAGAGGATTAGTTGTCATATGACTATTGTTAAGTAAGGCATGAAGTTTTGCGCGCTCTGTTTCCACATCTATTGCAATATGCCTCTTATTTTTCTTGTTTACTCGACCAAGACTCATTATATCAGGATCACTAATGGACATGGTTGTGGATGTTTCCCGTTTGGGAGGATCGTTAGGCAATTCATGTATTGGAATATCAATTTCGTTACCTATACCTGATGCATATGCGCTAAATGTTTTGGTTGCTGGCCATTCTTTAGTTTCAATTGCATAAATAATGTGCTGTAAACGAACTTGAATAGCGTATTCTTTTGGCCATTTAACGGCATTATTAAATAGTTGAGCAACTGTTGTTTCACTAAAGTCTAAGGCCCCAGAACCTTGTTTATCTCTTAACACAAAAGTGTCAACTTGGGAAAGCCTTGACAAAGGTTGTATGACTTCCAAATCAGGAAACATGGCTTTTAATTCTGCAGCCTGTTTGGAACACAAGTCTACATCTGTTTCCGTTGATTTTAGTTCCTCTATTTTTTCATCTTTGTTTGGTAGATTTTCTGTTTCTGACTCTTTAACCTCTTCTTTTTCTTCGGATTCGACTTTTTCGGAATGTTTTTCTTCAGGTTTAAGATCTTCATCAGGTTTGAGGATTGCTTCTTCTTTTGGTTTTTCTAATAGTTGCTTATCTTTGTTCTCAATTACTTCAGTATCTGTAGTATCTTCTGTTTGTTTTTCTTTTTCAGCATCGTTAACCTTAGTGTCATTGTTTTCAGTTTTAGTATCTTTTATTTCAAGATCTTTAATTTCATTATCTTTAACATTTAATTCTTTTGCGTCTATTTCTTTATATTTAGATTTTTTAGCCTCAATATTTGTATCATCAACCACTTTAACATTCTCATGAGGGACTTCGTTATTATATTCTTCTATTTCGTCTTTTGTTTTCTCCTTAGTTTCCACTTCTGATTTTTTCTCTTCAAGCGTCTCTTTTTTAACAGACACTTTTTCTATTTTTAATGTCCCTTCTCCTTTTTCTAGCTTTACAAGAATTTCGTCCTCATCAAATTTCAATATATCCTCATGACTTTCAAGTTTTATTGCACCCTTTGAGTCTTGGGATTCAGTATTTACTTTATTTTTTAGTATTTCTTGAAAAGACAATTGAGGATCATTCAGCAAATAGTAATCTGTTCTCCCTAACCCATGTCTAAATAATAAAAAAATATATATATAATAAGAATTGTTTTCTAGTTAAGTTAAAACAAATAATACTTACGTAGAAACGCCAACCAACAAGTCTTTGTCATGTTTTCCAGCAATCCACCAATCAGGCATGTCAGCTGATGTAACACAAACTTTTAGTCTTTCATCTAATTTCGAATGTGTAAGAACTTCCTCTCTTATTCTAGAAAGCAAATCTAATCTTTCTAAAGTTCTTCTCGCTTTTTCTTCGCCAATGTGCTCAATGGTCGTGTCGTAACTACCGTCATCTAAACCAGTCTGTTTCTTACACATGGTCACAAAATGCTTGTAATACTCTGTTAGTTCTTCATCAGACTTTTTCTCTAGTTTGGCTAGTTGTTTAAATTTAGTCCAGTCGTAAACTTTCTTTTTACGATAATAAATGACTCCGTATGTAGATGCAACTCTAAAGAAGTCGGCCTCCTCGCGTTTAGTCCATCGTTTTCCCAGAGTATACCGTTCTGGTTCTCTTTTTATATCGCGCATGGCTTGTTCCATGGCTTGCTTACCTTGCCTCTCCATCTTCTAAAAAAGTAAGTATCAATTCTTGTGACTAAATATTGTTAGTAAATATATTATAAATGATATATAGAGTCGTCCATAAAGTAAGTCACGCGGAGGTTTACCGTTTGTGACGAAGTGTTACATGGGGAGATTTGTGTTATGTGATATAACTTATGTACACCAAACAAATGAAAATATTTTTTTTAGTATTATAAATATTTTTCTGATTTTTATTTTACTTAATAATAATGTATAATACTTATTTAACAATGTCTGTAAAACAAGTAAAATACATATTAGGGTTTACCAAAAATTATTTGATATAAATTTAAACATCTAATTGTTATGTGTGACCTTGGGGTGACCAGGGGTTGTCTAAAACTAAAAAAAACGTGTGGTGTACTTTATGGAGAACCCCTACTGTTAAAAATATAAACAAAACAAAATTTAAATTATGGTTACTATTAGATGTTAAATCCGTATTACGTTAAATGTAAAACAAGTTTGCATAGTGATAAATAAAAAAATCTAATAACAAAATATTAAACTTACCTTAAACATGGGAATAATAAGTTTATATACATATATTTAAAAAAAACATGTTCAGCTGACAAAAACAAAATCGCCAATACAAATGTAATAAAAGTTAATAGGGTGTGCGAAAAAAAGTGTACAGCGAATTCAATTTAAGCCCTCTAGCGAGCAACTGAACATCTTTGGATGAGTAAAATTAACTTGTATTGAGCCAAAGAATCTATGGTATTTAGTTGTACAGGTTATTTTCTGGAAAACATGTATATTTATTTGTAAGTTTGCAATACTAATAATATTGATTATCAATATTATGGATTTATTGATAATTGATACACAGGATGTCCCAAAAATGGCACAACCACTGTACACTAGCGTAGAGTGATTTTTTTTATTAATTGATTTTCCTGAATGAATAAATATCATATCATATCGGTAATTTCTGTGTCATCGTATTTCATAGTCATAGGTGATTCAGTTACCTGTTCAGTTTTCTGTCGCCCAGTGAATTAACTCGTAATAATGTAATTCTTCAGTGTTTAGTTGTGGAAGCTTAAATTCCTGTTATCTCAAACCTTTTTATTCTTTTCTGGCCTTTAATATTTTCCGCAATGCTAGTTCTTTGATGTGGGACTCGTTATCTTGTAAGTAATAGGTTTTCGGGATGTATAAAAAAAGCGTTTCACTGAATCTTTTTAACTAAGGCCTTCAAGTTTTCCTAAAGGTATAATGCTCTTTTAGTCATATTAAATATGTGAATAGAACCATGTTTCACGTAGGTTTGGTTTTGATGTGAAACCACTTTCATGATAAAAGTAGCCAATTCTTTTAGGTTCGCCAATGGATTTGCTGTTTCCACATATAAACGAAGAATCCTATTAGCACACGTCAGCCATCGGGAATGTGCTAGCTTTCCTGGATCTTTATTAGCTAAGGAAGTGGGAATTGTACCTTGAGATATCGCTGAGCAAATTTGGTACAAATATTTTTGATCCGTGCTCAAACTACCATTAATAGTTCATAGTTCAGGCACTTCTCCAGTTCTATACCAATAAAACCTTAAAAACTTTTCGGCCCTGTTGTTGTACCATCGAGGTATATGAAGAGATGACAAAGTGGTAATTCGTTTGCCTGTAAAGGGCGACCAAGATGTTTTTCCAGTAAAACGATGACGCCGCTTATAATATGTCCAGTATTTACCGCGGTACCATCATATTTCAACCAAAGATGTTCGAAATTCATAAGACTTATCCAAATATTCAATCATGTGATTCTGAATTGTTATTGGGTGAACTGAAAGATGGACAATGTACTCAGACCCTGGCTCTGATATTAAGGAAATGTGTTCTTCACTGAAGAATCTTCAGTAATGGTTTTCCGCTGTGTATTGCTTCCAGTTTTAATAGCAGTTATCGTCTTGTCTTTGTGGACATCAAAATAAAGCACAGTTAGGGGTTTTCTTTTCAAGCATTGTAAATCTTATCGAACTTTTTGGCGCTCCCGACGTAATTTACTTCGATATATTACTCTAGGTACATATTCTTTACTAATTATATTTAAATCCAGTAATGCAGCTATGATTGCAGCCGATTGATCATAAACCCCAGTTCTATCACAAGCGGAGGCTAAATTTAGTAGCCTACTCACGTGCAATGCACAACTGAAGAAAAAGTACTTGGAGTATTGGTAGAAGTTTTCAGGAATTCCTCATACTTTCTTTTTCTATCTATTTTGCGCAGTAGAGACTTCGTAGCCAAGTGATCGATACAGCCAAAATACATTTTACGTTCCTTTCGCTGGTGTTTTAAAAAGTGGTTTTCCGTAATAGGAATTTTAATAGCACATTTGCACAAATTCTTTGAATCGTATTTACAAGTAGCAATATCAAATAGCTTTTTGGACTCGTCGCAGAACAACTTTTTTTTTATATCATTGTGAAGTTTTTTCACGCCCTTGTACTTGTAATATAAAAATCAACCTCGACACAACTTGTTGATGCCTAAAAATAGGAATCGAAGATTTATTCCATATTTTCTTGATGTCACAGGAAATAATTTCACACGCATCTTTGATAGCAGGGTCTTTCTCACCATTTTATTCAAGCAAATCATTTCTGACCAACAAATAATAGTTAATTATATCATTATATGTCGGCAACATGTTTTCAGAAAGTTTTTGTGGTTCACCACAGGCATTTTGCAATCGCTCGAAAAAATTCTTGCTGCGTGCGCCACTTGAAGATAAAGTCCTTGAGTCAAAATATTTTGAATAGTTAATGTACTCATATGTGGTCAACAATAAATAATACAGGAAAAAAGAAATACAAAAAAAAAAATGTTTGACCTTTTCACTCCACCCTATAGTATACTGTACACCAATTTTGGGAAAAGAATATTAAATTCATTTAAAAAAAACTGAAAACCAAATACCACCCTACTGTACACCAATTTTGGGAAAAGAATATTAAATTTATAAAAAAAAACTGAAAACCAAATATACTTAAAAATGTGTTTCTATAAAAATATATTATATAAAAGTATTTTTTAAATCATTTAAATTAAATTCATGAAATAAATGTGTGAAAATTGTAAAATTAAGTACATATCTAATCCAATAATAAAAAATATAAAAGCTAAAAAAATTACATTACAAGGGCCGAAATTTGAATTTTCGTCCCTGCGCGTCATGATGCGCAGGACCGAGATTTCAACGTTTGGCCCGTGTGGTGTATGCTATTTTTCTTCATACATCGGTCGAAAGTACTTAGTTTCGTCCCTAATAGCAGGGACGAAAGTTTACCTCGGTCGAAAGTACGTATTTTCGTGCCTAATAGCACAGGGAGTAAATGTTAAACTTTCGTCCCTGCTATTAGGGACGAAAGTAAGTACTTTCGAACAAGGTATGAAGAAAATATATTTTCAACGTACTTTCGACCGAGGTAAACTTTCGTTGCAGTGTAATATACTATATATTCTCAGCATTGATACTTAATATTAAAGGACCAGGTCCTTAGGACCTTGACAATATGTTCTCTTTTGCTAAACAAATGTTTAATTAAGCAAATGAATTGTATGTAACAAGCTGAATAGTTCAATTTAACTTGATATAACTATTTATGTAAAATAAATGGATAATATTAATGAATATATTTATTAAATATTATTTAAATAGGTAGGTACATTTTAAATTGTTTGTTCAACTGAATTATTTAATAAAATATCAGTATTATGATTTTGAGTAGCAAACACTTGTATATTAAGCTGTAGCTTAAGTATCTTAAGGCCAACATATAAAGCACACACATATCACATATTTAAGTAAACAATTAAATAACTTTAATATGTAGCTTTATTACTTAATTTACTTAATAAGGTTTAACAAAAACAGATATAAAGGGTTTTTCATTAAGAGTGACGCATTTTCTTTTTTCAATTAAAAGACTTGTGGGTTAGTTATGGATATGATTTTTATTTCAAGTGAAAGTACAATCGAGCACACAACGGCCGAAATACCATAAATTTCGCGTTCAATGTTGGCCTGCAGCTCTTCTAACGTTGCTGGCTTGTTGGCATAGATCAGCGATTTAATGTAACCCCAAAGAAAATAGTCTAATGGGGTTAAATCGCACGAACGAGGCGTCCATTCGCGAGGGCCATTGCGTCGACCGAAAATTGGCGTAACGCAACGTACTCGCAATATAACGTGAACTTCGATTAAAAATTTGAATAATTTGCAAACGTTGTAGAAGCGTGTATGATTAAACGGCATAAACTAAACTTTTAAAAATGTCAAAGAATTGCTAAGCCAACTACACTCCTATTCGAGAAATGTCAAAAACCAAATGCGTCGTCCCTATTGGAAAACCCTTTACATATAAATTTTTAAAATTATCAGTTCAAAACTTAAAACTATCATTCTTAGAAGTGAGTAAAAATAATAAAAAAAACTCGAGAAAATTAGCTTACCAGAAGATAGAGCGCGAGCTGTTGAAGATCCCATCCTTGCAAACCTAAGCTGGCAGCGTCCCTGGGGTCGTATTGCTGCGAAACTTGGGCCAATGCGGCCAGAGGGTTGGTCAGCGAGTCTATCGAGGGAGGCTGCACAGTGCATACACAAACAACTACACTACCCGAACAACATACAGCTCATGCATCGACGCATGTGATGATATGATATACAGGGTAGTAGATAAATTTAACAACTATGTAAAAATGAATTTTTTAATGGGACGTAATTTGTGAAATAATGTGGCACCAGTTTATAACAAAAACTAATTTGATTCTTTTTATAATTTTAATTTAAAACTGCTTATCCCAGATAGCACAACATGTAATGAGGACATCCGGTTTAAATCCTTTACAGACGGTCGCGACCAGAAAACGGATGGACCTCCTGAGGCCTATCAAATATTTTTTAAAACAACCACCAAGTATTTTTTAGTTTATAACGTGACAGCTTTATTCAATAAAAATATTAATTTGTTAATTACAAAATATATTTTCACGGCATTTTATTTTTTTGCCAAGACGTTCATCCTTAGTACGCACATCTTTTTAGAAAATTTTATAGCAAGTAGGTAAACAAATGAATCCGTTAATGGTTGGTGATTCTACGTACCTAGACGCAATTCAGGTTACAGTAATACTTTTATAAATACAATGGCGGTAATAAAAAATATGGGCTTATTTATTTTGAAAAAATAGTACCATTAAAGTGTTTGTAGCAAACCGTCGGAGATCGAGTTGTTCTAAATCCTGCGCGAGTAGTGGGTACGCGCCGGCTCAGCCGTCGCCATTTCCTTTCTGTTGGGGTTGTGTGTGAAAGTGATCTTTTTCTATGGTGATCCGCTTATTACTGGATTTCCACCTGTTGCTAAACCTATTTTGACTAAGTTTTGGTAAGACATTTTTATTTTTTAATACTCTAATACGGTCAGTGTAGGCTATTTATTTGGATTACCTATTTTTGCGAAAATTATTGACAAAATTTTATGTTATATGCAAACTTGAAAGATGGCCTGCACATTTTAATTTGCTCAAATAAACACTATAAATACGTTACAGAATATTTGCTTTAACCCTTCATTAGTCGCACTGTTTTCTGAAACGCCATTAGTCGCTTCGGTGTCTGAGACCGAAAGTTAAAAATTACGTTTATTAAATATCTTGTGTGTATCTTTAAATTTTTAAGAAAAACACTATTTTAATATTTTTAAAAGTAATGTTTTTAATAAACAAACATAACAAAATATCAATATAAAAAAAAAATTAGTATAATTCATTACAAGAAATATTTTGTTCTGACTCGCTATTTTCTTGCCTTTCCTTTACGAAATCTTCTTCGTCGTTGTCTTCATCGTCATTAAAATTACTTTCATTTTCAGAATCTTTCTCTTCCATTAGTTTTTGAAGTCGTTGTTGGTCGGCTATGTAAGAATACATAGTTAAATTTTTAAAATCGGTCTCTCGCACCGAAATAAATTCTGGAAGCCGCTAAATCACACCCATGCGCCAACGCTTTCAGACTTAAGTTCGAACGGCTAATTTAGGAAGGTACCTAGGAGGGGATAGCGCTAAGTCGATGCGCGTTAAAAAATATAAAGCGTCGGTCTCACACACCGGGTTAATTTTGTATATCATTTTTTGACTTCTATTTTAAACTTTCTATAATAAATTAAATGTTATTTTGTGTAAGTGTCGTGTGGAGGCATGTCGTATAGTGTAGTTCAATGGCGTGTCGTGTAATGAGGTTAAGTGTAGTGTAGAAGTCTATATAGTCTATATACATACACTTAACATCATTACACAACATGCATACAGGCGACGTCGCCTGTATACTACACACTTGTTTAAACTGTATTATTCCCTATAAAATTTTACACTACGGCCTAAACATTATGTCCCAAATTGGCCATCTTAAGGTCAAAGATGGACGATCTGAGAACGTCTAAAACTGTCAATTTCGGAAGTCTGTGGACGGACGTACTGAGGACGTTCGGGTTGTTATGGGCGGAGATCCTACGAACGTGAATGCGATTGATTGTGCTATCTGGGATCGTACTATTAGTCATTTGTGCAGATATAAAAATAAAAACAATTTTAAAGAGTCTAAATGGTTGGTATTAATCAGTGACACACTTTTCATATTACATTCATAATATTAAATAAAGAATTAAATATGTGATAAAAATTATCTAAAAAACGATAAACAAGCGCTAAGCACATTTATTAAGAATTAATAATTAAACCATTCAACAAATAACAATCTTTATGGAATGGGTTTTACTTATATTTTCAAGTCAACCATATAATATTTTATTAATTGTGAATATTTAAAAGCTTTTAGTAAGAAGATACTAAAACATAAATAAAAACCCTTAATATATAGAAAAAGTATAAGGACATTTACACTTAGATATTTATTAATAGTAAAAGTAGTACCTTGGCAGTCCAGTTCTTATATAGTTTTTAATAAGTATATTTAACACCTTTTATAAAATGATTATAATCATTTTATAAAATGATTATAATCATTTTATATTTCATCCCTTGTTATTATATTATTTATTATTCCTAGGTCCATATGAGATTCCATCGAAATTAATGTAAGTATGTATATTTACCTTGGGTTTAGACTGTTGCATTTTTTGTTCCTCCTTTCTATAACTTCTTTGATAGGATGTTATAACTCTCCTAAGCCTAGTGTTAAGATCAGTTATGGTGGGCCAAGGAGTTTTATCATCGCCAGTCACGTCTTCCCTTTCGTCGACATCGATAGGATGCGACTCCGAAGAGGCAGACGGGCCAGGTGAAGGTTCTGCTATTTCGGAGTTTACTTCTGAAACATCTCTGGTCCTAGATTTTAAACTAGAATCCTCATTAACATCATCATCGTCCATGTCGTCATCATTGCTAAATGAAATTAAAAACTTTTTAATATATAAACATTTTTATAACCTCAAAAAACTAGTAATAGATATTCTTACCTGAATTTAGCAGTGACAAATATTATAAGCATGCATTTACTTAATCCTCAATTAAAATATGTTAGAATAAAAACAAGCTGTGGCAAATGATATTCAATAACCATTTAAAGGAAGTTAGCTACATAAACTTTTGAAAAAATAATGGTGCGATATATAATGCATTAATACAAATAAAAAATAGATTGCAGTGTTTCACATGCCTAAGCAATTAATTTGCCTTTAAACTTAATGGTTTAACCCTTAAATGTTATATTTTCATTGTTTTTTCAAAACAGTCGAGGAACAACTTTACACAAAAACATTGTTTGTATAAAACAATTCACTCCCAGTGTTAGTCATTTTTAGCGTACCAAAAAACTAAATAGCATAGTATAATATTAAGCGCCAAGGATGCGCTGAAGTATAATGTGACAAAGTTGATAAAAATATACGGGAAAATCACTATAAACCCTAACATAAACTACATTAAAATAATTTAAAAAAATTATGTGAGTGTTTATAGTGTTGTGCGCGTCTCGCTGCATTTGCTTCTGAACGTAGAGGCGTCCTCAAGGACGACGCTCAATCTGCTACTTACGTTGGGGTGGCAATGGTAGCTGAGGCACCCTGAGCACCTAAACCAGGTAACTTTTCGATTGGCATGTCGGCGGCCCCCGCCGCTGCCGCCATCAGGAGGTCTCGTTCTGTGGGCGGACCGCACCTCGCTAGGAAGCACAAGGCCGGATCGGCCCTCATTGAAGTGTACATTTCGTAGCCGTGTTTCCATGTGCCAATGAGCAGGGACCTGTCACACTCACTGTCCCACCAGGGGCACGGCAACTGTTCCGTGGGGGGAGGGTAAATCGGCAAGGCACTGTGGATATTTCGGGGAATTTTCAATTTTGCATTACGATCAAAACGATTTTCAAGCCAATTGGATAATTTTGTAAAAAATACTACACGCAGGTAACCTTACTAATCAATAAACTACCCCTATTACTTCATAAAATGTATGCTGAGATAACAATGTTTTTATAAAATAATATTTGATGTGGTAAAATTGTTTTATATATTGTTTGTAAGGTTTATGCGTGGAGTGTAATTTCGACAAAAATTGTCGTTTAATAATTTATTGACATTTGTATTATTATATTTGTTTATTAATTCTTTCAGAATTTTTTTTTTCGTAAAATTATAATTTGGTATCAAGTGCCATACCGTTTTATGTATTTCTTATTTTATTTGTGAAGGAAGATTGGGAACCAGTCTTTTTGGGATTTTATATTGTGTTACAAAAAAATAAGTGTTAAAATTGTGTAAAAATGTTTAAAATATGAATGGGAATCTATATTAAAAATTGTATGGGCATTATATTCGCATCAGCTAAAGCGTATGTTTGGCATGACCTCAAAGCAGGGACCATGCAATTAACTGTTAAACAATGAAGCAAGGCTCCCAACAAATATTAAAAATAATTAAAAATAACCAAGATACAATTTTCAGCAGTGACTTGTAATATTAGTCAAACTATGAATGAAAACCTTACCTTTGATCATATTCTTTCTTAGTAGATTCAGTTTCTTTAAAACATTTAATTAATTTGTTAAAGTGAAAATGTAATATAAAGTACCAATCCATTAATACAGGGTGCAATAAAAGTCACATTTTAGCTGAATAAAATTGCTCTATTAGTGAACAAACATGTACTTCCATGCAATGAAAAACTTTATTGAAACAGTAACATTTATATTCAATTACAAATTTACATCTCCATTTACCTTAATAATCGATCTAAAATTAAATATCAGCTCTGCTGCTTTTTAGACACTTTTGTTGTCAAAATGCATATATACGAGTACGTATTATAGTATAATTATAGATATGTCTATTTTGTAAAACTATAAAATGTATGTCCATCCTAACAACAAATAAATTTATTATTATTATACATTTGCTAAGACGCTTTTGGAAAATGCCAATTATGGTCGCGCACTTCTCCACCGCAATTTCATCCCATGTGCGTCTCAGACTTGCTTTTAGCATATTTACGGTATTATAACGACTTCTTCAAGCATTTTTCTCAAATGTTTCTATTTAATATAAAAAAAATCCTCACCAAATATGGGCGTCCCAGCTCAACTCTAAGAGGTCGATGTTTTTATTTTAGTTTCCCATTTAATTAACATGGGAAAAAATAATTTTATGTTTGGAATTTTATACCTCTGTATCAAAGTAACTTATGGCAATGATCATTGCAGTTTCTTATATAAAATGTAACGCTCTACAAAAAAGGTCTCCTATTATTTTTCGATTAATTGATTTATTCGAGGTCAAAGTTTGATTAACATCAAATTTTCTGTTTTTTTTTAATTTTATGGTACAATTAGCAGACGGGAGGTGAAAGGGGGCAAAACAATGCAGCGGGGGGGCAAAATGGGGTACCCAAAAAATTTCGTAAAAAATTTTAGATTGTTTTTTTCGGTTTCTAAATTATTTGAAAATTTACTCACAAGTTCACGCTTTTAATCGAAAATAATTATTCTGAGCCTGTAGAGCGAGAAAAAGGATGGTACAATTTTGGAAAACTTTTCATATGCTCATTTTTTGGGTACCCCATTTTGCCCCCCCCCCCCCGCTGTCTTGTTTTGCCCCCTTTCACCTCCTGTCTGCAACCATAAAATTAAAAAAAAACAGAAAATTTGATGTTATCAAACTTTGACCTCGAATAACTCTAGAAGAAATCAATTTATCGAAAAATAATAAGAGAGCTTTTTTGTAGAGCGTTACATTTTATATAAGAAACTGCAATGATCATTGCCATAAGTTACTTTGATACAGAGGTATAAAATTCTAAACATAAAATTATTTTTTTCCATGTTAATTAAAAGGGAAACTAAAATAAAAACAGCGACCTCTTAGAGTTGAGCTGAGACGCCCATATTTGGTGAGGATTTTTTTTATATTAAATAGAAACATTTGAGAGGGTAAGAGCGAAAAAAAATTAAATTTTATTTTTTGAAGCACCCTACTGACCACACTAAATAGTTGATATGAGTCAAATAAAGCTAGTTTGGTGGCCAAACATCTTTGCTACAAACCACAGGAAACAACTCTTAACAGATCTTGTTATAAAATGGGATTATTGTTAAGACTTTATAATAAAAATTGATTTTGAATAAAATTAAATAAAATAACATTTTTTGGAGATCTTTTTTGTGTATTATGCTTTTTACTATATAAAAAAGTGATTTTTGGCTAACCCTGTATAAATCTAATTTGCTCAGTTTGAAAAGAGTATTATCCAAGTCTCGTCAACAATATACTCCAATATTATAAAAATCGGTGTTAAAATGTGTACTCTGTCAAAGGTAAGATAAACAAAAATTTAAAAGTCTACTTTTGACAGAGTACACATTTGTACACCGATTTTTATAAAATTAGAGTATATTATTGAGGAGACTTAAAGAATACTTTTTAATACTGTTCACATCATTTGATATATACAGGGTGATCCAAAAATCGCTTATTTTCAATAAAGCAAAAGCGTAAATTCATGATTTTGGCATAACACGCAAAAAATATTTATCCCCATTTTTTTTTACATATTTCTACGTTTATCAGGTCACAAAATGGCATTCTTATTAACCTTTTATAAAAAAAAATGATTTTTAATAAAATAAAATAACGCTTAGAGAATATTTAAAATGTTGTTTAATTTAGGCCTTTTAGTAGTTTTCAATTTTGAACGAAAAACTGGTTAAAGTTTTTTGATCGGCACTCTTTGGAGATTTAAAAACGATATTTACCAAAATTATAACTGCTTTTTTTAAATTTGTTAAAAAATCATTTTTTTTTAATTATTTGTTTATCGCAAAGTCCACCTTTGCCAGAGTACACATTTGTACACCGATTTTTATTGATTGCAGTTTCTTGTTTGGGACCCTTTGGTAACTTTAAAATGATATTTACCAAAATCCTAGCTGCTCCTCTTTTCGAAATTTTTTGAAAATTCTTAATTTTTTGAAAATTCTTAATTTTTTTTGTAATTTTTGTTTATCTTACCTTTAACAGAGTACACATTTGTACACCGATTTTTAAAATATTGGAGCATATTGTTAACGAGACTTGTAGAATACTGTTTTCATACTGAGCACATCATTAGATCTATACAGGGTTAGCCAAAAATAACTTTTTATATAGTAAAAAGCATAATAAAAAGATTTATCTCCAAAAAATTATATTTTATTTAATTTTATTCAAAATCAAATTTTCTTATAAAGTCTTAATAAGAATCCCATTTTGTAGCCTGTTAAACATAAAAATATCTAAAAAACATGGGTGAATATCTTTTTTGCGTGTTATGCCAAAATCATGAATTTACGCTTTTGCTTTATTAAAAGAAGCGATTTTTGGCTAACCCTGTATAAATTAAATGATGTGCACAGTATAAAAAAGTATTCTCCAAATCTCCTTAACAATATACTCCAATATTATAAAAATCGGTGTACAAATGTGTACTCTGTCAAAGGTAGACTTTAAGATAAACAAAAATTTAAAAAAAATCATGAATTTTTAAAAAATTTGGGTATATACTTTTTTGCGTGTAATGCCAAAATCATGAATTTACGCTTTTGCTTTATTAAAAGAAGCGATTTTGGCTAACCCTGTATATATTAAATGATGTGAACAGTATAAAAAAAGTATTCTCCAAATCTCCTTAACAATATACTCTAATATTATAAAAATCGGTGTACAAATGTGTACTGTCAAAGGTAGACTTTAAGATAAACAAACATTTAAAAAAATGATGAATTTTCAAAAAAATTCGAAAAGAGGAGCAGCTAGGATTTTGGTAAATATCATTTTTAAGTCACCAAAGGGTCCCGAACAAGAAACTGCAATTAGTTTTTGGCGGCATTTTTATGTGACTTAAACTTCGTTCAGGCACACCGTGTTCATGTAAACGTTTTTTTAAACGTCCTATAAACAGGGTATAAAAAAATTAGTTTTCAACTACTACCCTAGTTACCATACTTTTTTTTATTTCTATGCTTTTAATTAAAATACTTATAAATGACAGGCATAACAATTATCATGTTACTTTTTAAATAATAAAGGTCAGGGAACATTGGAATTGTAATTTTAAAATACAAAATTTGAACGTTAATTTCTTGTCATTAACCCTGAATTAAGGGTTTTAAATTTATAACTAAACCAGTTTTTATGACTATAGTCTTTATAGTCTTCCTATTTTATCAGACGTTGTAAACAATTTGTATTGTATTAGCACTAATAAATATTATTATTATTATTATAACGCCTAGACCAGGTCTAGAACACACAGAACAAAACGTGCGTTTAATCTTTTGAGGTTAGGATTCTAGCCAAATTCCGTCGGTCACTTATGATTGTAACGTTCATTTATGGTCACTTATGGTCATTTACAAAAGTGACGCCCAATTTTGCCAGTTCGATACAATCTGTGCACAGATTCCAGCCAAGACCATCACAGAAGCTACAAAAATACTGCAGTGGTCTTTTGCCTTAGTAGTTGAGAATTTTGGCAATTGTAAAATGGTAACAATCTTCTCGTACGTGAAAGAACAACAAAACCTAAAGTTGTTACTTATAGAGATATAGAGAAATGCTATTAATTGGGACAATATAATTTACTTAAATGCTATAAATGATAAATTATATTTTTACATATTTTACATATACAATAATATTTCCTTGCTCTTTGATAAACATGGTCCTTTTTTAACCTCGCGTATAACCAAACCTTATACACCTTGGTTAACTAACACTTTGAAGCAAATGATGAAGGATCGGGACAAGGCCTTGGATGTGTATAAAAAGTCAAAAACAACAAAT